TCGATCACCTGACCTCGTGATCTGCCCTCCTCGGCCTCCCAAAGGGCTGGGATTACAGGCGTGAGCCACCACGCCCTGCCCCTAGTGAGGGTTTTGTAGTTAAATTATGCCATACATTGAATAAGAAAACAAACAAACAAACAAAAAAGATAATTTGAGAGTTCGTAGACAAATTTATAACTCCAATTTCTTATCTGTTAACCTCCAAACACATGATTATTCAATAATGGAGCCTTTGACAAATAATACTAGTGCTTCCCTATGGATGACACCAACGCACAAGGCATTCCACAGAGAACTGTCTGTTGTGCCCATGTACGATTTATTTTTAATCTGTGCAGAATTTAATAATTAAGCATATATGTTGTCAACTCTATGTCTCAGTAAATGGAAAATAAGGGACCAATGTGGATTAAGGATTTTAACAGTACTATTGTCACTCCATAATCAATTGGAAACTGAACATTAGTTTATACCTGTTAATTTTCACTATGAAATAAAGAGAAATTTGCCAGCACGCACAAAATACCTTTAAATGGCCTTCTTTTGGTAGACTGCTCCTTGCTTAATATGGCATAAATGTAAATAGATTTATGATTAGAAATATGTCTCAAATATTGGCTATTATAGACAACTTTACTGCAAAAGTTATAGCTGCCCACAAAGCTTCTTTAAATTCTCTTGCTGAAGTTGTTATAGATAACATGATTTCTTTGGACTATCTGTTAGCTAAACAGCGGGGGAAATGTGCACAATGGCTAACTCCTCCTGCTGCACTTGGATAAATAAATCTGGTTTTGTAGAAATTCAATTGCAAGAAACCAACATATAAGCTACTTGGCTAAAGCAAGTAGATTCTTCTCCTGGCACATTTTTTAAATATACAGTTACATATGGCTTAACCATGGGGATACATTCTGAAGAATGTGTCATTATATGATTTTGTGAACATAATAGAGTGTAGTTACACAAACATTGATGGTGTAGCCTACTTCACACTAGCCTATATGGCATAACCTGTGGCTCCTACTCTACAAACCTGTACAGCATGATACTGTACTGAATATTGTAGGCAATTGGAATACATTGGTAAGTATTTTCATATCAAAACATATCTACACGTAGAAAAAGTATAGTAAAATACAGTATTGTATGGAGCCACCATCGTATGCAGTCCATCATTGACTGAAACACTGCTACACAGTGCATGACTGTATTTGATTTTAATCAGTTTGATTTCTGGGGGCTCCTGTTAAGGAGTGTGTTTCAGTCTCTTAGTATTATCCAGCTGATAGCCATCATAATATTCTCCCTGGTGTGCCATATCCTCTCAAGAGTCTTAAATGCTCATATACAGCCATCTATTATACATAACATGGCCTCACTATGGTTTGAATTAAACACACACACACAAAGAGAACATAAAGAAACATTCAACTGACCCGACCTGGTAAATTCTGAATTTCATATTGTGACAAAACCAGTCCATTATCATGGGAAAGAGAGTGATGTCAATGTCCAAGATTTTGGTCCATTTCTCAGAATTAAAAGACTGACAAAAAGGAGGAAACAGTTAAATTTCATTTGGCTTACAGCTGCCTCCATTTGCAACAAACAAATTGCAAATGCTCTCTCTCTTTTTTTTTTTTTTTGAAACGGAGTTTCCCTCTGTCTCCCAGGCTGGAGTGCAGTGGTGTGTTCTCAGCTCACTGCAACCTCTGCCTCCCAGGTTCAAGTGATCCTCCTGCCTCATCCTCCTGTGTAACTGGGGTTACAGGTGCGTGCCACCACGCCCAGATAATTTTTTATTTTTAGTAGAGATGGGGTTTCACCATGTTGGCCAGGCTTGTCTTGAAGTCCTGGCCTCAAGTTCTCTCTCTCTGCTCAGTCCCCCAAAGTGCTGGGATTACAGGCGTAAACAAACTTTGTTAAGAGTATATTTTCATAAGAGAAAGCTGAGTCTCAGCCAATCACAGCCTGCCAGCTGACCACGTTCAAGGCAAATGCTTCATCACACCATGTTTAAATAAGGCACACGCTGAGCCGTAACCAATCAAGCTGTTTTGCATGCCACTTCTTTTGCTCTCAGCCTGTCCACATTGCTATGTGGAGCTCTCCAAACGTCTTCTGGTTCTGAGTGCTGCCTGATTCATGAATTGTCCTTTGCTCAAATAAACTTTGCTAAATTTAATTTGTATAAAGTTTTTCTTTTAACACAGCAAAGCCAGGATCTCAGTTAGAATCAAACATTTGCACTCTAGTCAGGGACCGACTTCAATGGCCTGCGGATTGGCATCTCTTAAGCTGGATGAAAAAATAAAGGAGATGATTGAGACATCTCGCCTTTATTTATTTTAAAACCATGGACCAGTACTAAGAATTTATATTGTTAGTATTAAAAATGGCTAAAATTGTGGGATGAAATAGAGCAGGAGGGGATAGAGCAAAGGAGGCATACAGAACATAAGTGATGTTTCTGTGGTTCTAAATAGAATAAAATACACAATACTATGACCTTGGAAGTTCTGTTCTGGGAGCAGGAGAAACTCACATGTGGGTGATGGAATCATTTGGCTCCTCTGACTGCCATAGACAATTAATTGCTTTCGGTTCTACCTCTCAATTATCTCCGTTACTTCTTTTCTCCTGTTCATCTCCCCTGCCTCCAGCCTAGTTCAGCACTATGTCCTTATTGTAGTAGAGTCTGTAATAGACCCAAATCAAAGCTTGTTAAGAAATGTTCACTTCTTAGTCCTTTTTTCCCACAGTTGTCATCGTGTGCCTTCTTCACAAGCCTTCAATAGTAGGCTTATCTTCACAAGCCTTCAATAGTAGGCTTACCTTCTGAATGAAGTAGTAACTCCTCACAGCTCTATTTTAGATCCTCAATAACATTGCTAACATAATTTTTGCCTTTTGTCTTGCTATTCATATGTTTATTTTTGTGCTCCTAATTAAACATGACTAATGCCACTATTATTATTATCATCACTAACATTTATTGGTACTATTACTTATCTCTGATGCTACCACCACTGCTGCAATGCCACTATGTATCCTAATGGTGAACATTTATTGAATGGTTAATATGTGCCAAGTACAGTGCTTAGGCACTTTCATTCAATCCAATTGCCAAATAATCACTGATCACCTGCAGTGCGCTCTGTGCTACAGTGGTTAGCACAATAAAATAGACAGGGATTTGCCCCTAATGTTCATGAGCTCACAGCTCCATACTTCTTATGTACATTAATCCTTTCCATAAACTTCTGCAGGTAGGTATGCTTGTAATCAACATTATTTTGCAGATGAGAAAGCTGAGGCTGAATTTACATAACTCACGCAAGGACTTAAGGATAACAGGTGAAGCTTCCAGATCTCTCTGGTTGCAGACCCTCATGCCATCTGCTCTGCCCTTCTCAACGTTGTTCCTTCACATTTCCCTTCATGCCCACTCTTTGGCCACAGATCCTTGGGGGTAGGGATTGTGTCATATTCTTCTGTGTACAATGAGTAGCATCTTTAAAGCTTAATACATGTTTTGTGGTTAAATGAAACAGAAACAAAAATCAGCCCCTAAGGACCTCAATTACTTGTCAGGTTGCTTTGTACTGAGGAAGAGCCTCTCCAGGAGTGATCAATGTCTCCTCACTGTTTAAAATAGAAGACAATCTGCCTCACCCACAGCGTCTAGTAAAATATTTCATTGATTCATCTGTTCCTGTGCCAGAGAAGCAAGATTAATATTCATTTTAAATTCAACTGATAAGATAGTGTTACCAAATCTCATGTTTATTCTTTTTCCAAATGTGCACTACTGCACTCTACTAATGTTCCATCATGTCCTGTCATAATGCATTAAGGGCAAGATTGGTGACATTTGCTTGGAATCAGACACCTGTTATCAATTTGGAGAGTGGCTTATATATCCTGCTTCAAAATGTCCAGGGGGCCAATGGAGATGAATGAGGCTTTGTTAATGTCCCTGCTGCTTATGATACAGCTTCTCTTTACTTAGAAAACCATGGAGAAATACTCTGCTAAATATAGTCTTAACACAATCATCATGGAAAGAATCATCTTTAACACAGTCTGAGTTCTCTCATTGTCACCTCTCATAGCACTTTTGCGACACTTCCTTTCATCTTGCATCCTGGCTATCATAGAAATCCCAGTCTCCCCAGTTAAGAGACAGAGAGGCTGAGGATGAGTTCTAACAGTATCAAGTAACACACACAAGTCAATGATAATTCCAGAGCATTCCAAGAATGCAAAAATGTGGGGCAGAATGTGAATTAACCATTCAACAAATATGTATTGAGTATCTCCTGACCAGGAGCAATCTTCTGTGCCAAAAGATTTCTTCTGCCTTCAGGGGCCCTGCAGTCTATGGGGAAAGTCAGACTAGCAGTCAGCTTCCAATATGCTGTGGTAAGTCTTCTGATAAGGAGCACCCCAAACTATAGAGGTGCCCAGAAGGGGTACTTTATTCAGTCTGAGAGCTCAAGAGAGCATTGCAGAGTATTGGTAGCCAGGATATAAGAGTGGGGAGGGTATTCACAGTGAGAGTAAAAGAGCAAAGCACTTGAGAAATGAAAATCAGAGATAAACGATAGAATCAGTATACACAGAGGTTGTATGGAGACTACAAAAAAAATCTATTTAAACTATATTTATAATCTTCAATTATTGGCCAGTGGTGCAATTTAATATATTACTGTTGAACTCAGAGATGCCAAACAAACTGTCCTTATTCAGAATGTGTAACTTAATCTGCTGTAGTGTGCTATTACGGATTAAATTTGGCCACCTGGTCTTTGACACTCCTCCCCTGGAAAAATGTGGTCTACATCTTCTCCCTTTGAATCTGGGTAGGCTCTGTGATTCTCTGACCAATAAATAAAACAGGAAATGACCCTAGGGAAACTCATAGACCTGAGCCTCAAGAGATTTGTAACTTCCATTTTCTATCTCTTGGAACTTTTGCTTTTGGAATCAAGTGTTCCTGCTGTAAGAAAGCCCAAGCCAACTGCTCATGAAGAGACCAATTGGAGGACAAATGGAGACCTTTGACAAGACCTTCAATTGGTATCCCATCAGACAGCCAGAACCTACTTGCCAGCCATGTGAGAGAGCCTTCTTGGAAGGGCATCCTCCAGCCCCAGCCAAGCCATCACAGCTAACACTGCCTGGAGTGGATAAAAGCCAAACTGTAGATTAATAATTTAAGCCACTGGGTTTGGAGATGATTTGTCATGCAACAATAGATAAATGGAGCTAGCACCTACTTTAAGAACCTGTACATGGTGCTTGGCTAGCAAGGCAGTTTGCATGGATGAGCCCATAGAAACATTAGCACTGGTGCACATCTCCCTCTATCTTGGTGGCTCACATATGAATAAAAGCAGTCATGAAGGAAGATGGGATTGAGAGGTGGATGTCAGAAAATAACTCTGCCAGATGCTGCCTTTCATATTCTCCATTGTGATCATCTGGACAATAATCCCAGCTGAAATGAACACATGTTCTCAATTAGAACCTATTGCTCATAATTGGGAACATAGTACATGCCAAGCTTGATCTCTACATAATTGCCATTGAGAGTCTAAGAGATTGTAGTGAGAATGACAGACGTGCTCAAGAATTTTAAAAATTTTTTAAAGAGCCATCTTCTGTATATTTGGTCCTGAAAACCAGTGCGACCCAACTCACAAAGCTTACAGGAGGATTAATCAGACTGTGCTTAGGAAGTCCTTGGAATCTAGAGACATAAAAATTACAGACGAATAGAAAATGTTGTTAATATTAACTGACAGTTCCACTTTTTTTTTTTTTTTTTCAGATGGAGTCTCACCCTGTTACCTAGGCTGGAGTGCAGTGGCGTGATCTCGGCTCACCACAACCTCCACCTCCCGGTTTCAAGCGATTCTCCTGCCTCAGCCTCCAGAGTGCTTGGATTATAGGCGCCCACCATCATGCCCGGCTAATTTTTGTATTTTTAGTAGAGATGAGGTTTCACCATGTTCGGCAGGCTGGTCTCGAACTCCTAATCTCAGGTGATCCACCCACCTCAGCCTCCCAAAGTGCTGGGATTATAGGCATGAGCCACCGTGCCCAGCCAGTACTACTATTTTTAACTGAAGAAAAGCAAATATAAAAATGTAATAAGCAAACAAACACATATTGCTAATAATTTGGTTTGTTTCTGTGACAATCATTATCCTAGTCACCCAGACTTGAAATCCAGGACTCCTTTTAAAAACAGTTGCAAAAATTGCAGATTCAGTCTTCACATTTTTTTGTTTTTGCCTCTGCTCTCATCTCTCCTTCCCCACTGCCACTTACCTACTTCAGTATCTCAACACTTATCCTATCATAAACACCCCTAGTTGATCTCCCTGACTCCAATTTCCTTCCTTCCCAGGTCAACTTCAACAGTTTCTAGATTAGTTTTATTTAATGTCACTCTCCTGCTTAAAAACCTTCAACTGTTTCCTATTGCCTTATAATAAAGTCAAACTCAGAAGAGCATGTCAGGGCTTCTAGGGCAAATCCAGAAATATGAGGCCTAAAGCAAAGCCAAATGCAAGCTGAATGCCACAGGGCAGGCAGAGAGTGCTCCTGGACCGGGGCGGATTGGCTCTGTGCTGTAATGATGCAATCTGGTGAGAAAATCAGAACTAATCACCCCACCACACACACCAGGCTTTTACAGGTGGCAAATCCACAGCTTCTGGTAGGATCGTTTTAGCTGAAGGAGAGGCCATGAGAGGTATATGGCTGGAAATCTACCCTGCTGATCATTTTAAATCAAGTAGATGCAATTTAAAAGAAGGGGAATGAAGGTAGAAATGCACATTGCTCTGGAAGATAATGCTAAACACTCACTGAAATGCTAATGGTATGTAGTGGTATGAAGGCCAGGTCAGCTCAGGAAATGTCTTCCTCCTTCGGTGCTTACCACAGAAGTTTCCAACTGGAGGCTCCTGGGTTGGATTTGGGCTGGAAACACCTTTAGATCTGCTATGTAGCATTTACTTTTTACATGGGTGTCATTTTGAAAGTCTGGACTTGTCATCTAAAAAATTCCCAAATTTTTAACTTCCTTAATAGAAGCAACTCAGGAGATAAAAACATGAGACCCATATGATCAAAATCCACCAGAGCTGAGCGCTGGCTGCCCTGTTAGGACAGGGCTTGTTACACTCATCACCTAGTCTGCTTCATTCTTGGTGTGCTTCCCTCAAGAAGCACTCATGGTTGTGACTCTCAGTGTATGCTATTTAGACTTTAAGAGTTCAGGTTTGTCCTTGGAAGAATTGTGAGAGAAAGACAGAGAGAGAGAGAGAGAGTGTGTGTGTGTGTGTTAGTGTTTGTGTGTGTGTGAGAGAAAGACAGAGAGAGAGAATGAGCCATTAGATGGACACTTCCTTCCTTCCTTCCTTCCTCTGTCTCTCTTTCTTTCCTCTCTCTCTCTTTTTTTTTTTTTTCTGAGACAGAGTCTTGCTCTGTCGCCAGGCCGGAGTGTAATGGCGTGATCTTGGCTCACTGCAACCTCTGCCTCCCAGGTTCAAGCGAGTCGCTTGCCTCAACCCCTTGAGTAGCTGGGACTACAGGCGCACACCACCATACCTGGCTAATTTTTTGTATTTTAGTAGAGTCAGGGTTTCACCATGTTGGCCAGGATGGTCTTGATCTCCCGACCTTGTGATCTGCCCGCCTTGGCTTCTCAAAGTGCTGGGATTACAGGTGTGAGACACTGTACCCGGCCTTTTTTGTTTGTTTGTTTGAGACAAAGTCTTGTTCTGTCTCCCAGGCTGGAGTACAGTGGCATGATCATAGTTCCCTGCAGCCTTCATCTCCTGGGCTCAAGAAATCCTCCCGCCTCAGACTCCTGAGTACCTAGGATACGAGGGCACACCACCACAGCTGGCTAATCCATAGCTCCTTAAACCTCACCTCTCAGCCCTGTAATAACTGTTTAATCAGCCTAGCTCTGAGCCCATTTTTTTTCCATTTCTTCTCCTTTCACACATACAATGCCTTTTGTTGGTGTGCCTAAATTGCTATTAGATAGACTCTTTCCTGTTCTCCAGCAGAATTCTGGCTATCCCAGTGTTCCTCCAGCATGGCCTCTACTCATTCTGATTCAATGAGGAATGGGAAAGTTATGCTTTTCATTCTTTCCAGATATTTCTAGACCATTGTGTCATGAGTTACTTTTATGTATTCATTCTCCCAATATTTCATCTGTTAAAATGCAAATTATCCTTTTACACCATGCTATCCCTAACTAACTGGGTGACCTTATGCAATAATTAAAATTTATTGTGACTATATGCTAGCCACTTTAAACGCTTAATTACATTAAATCCTCATGATGATGTCATAAGTTACTTATTATTATGTTTTTATCATAGCTGAGTAAGCTGAGGCTCTAAAAGGTTAGACAGCTTTTCAGTGAAGAGTCCCCTAGCCCAGGTACTCTCGGGGTCAAGGTTTTCTCACAAATAAAATGAGAGGATTGTACTGGGAAGTCTCTAAAGTCAGAGGAAACTCTGACTCCATGTCAGCTGGCTGGATCCTGCTCTGCACCCCGCTCTGCACCCCCATACGAACTGCAGTGGAAACAGCAGAGGCAATACCTACAACAAGCCAGCCCAGAGAGGCCTCAGGAGCACAGCTGCTTCTCTTCACTTCTAATCTACAGCCTCTTGGTAACATTCTCTTTTGCTTCTTTCTGTTTCTCCCTAGCCCTTGGAGTCACCTATCTTTGTTGATACCTCCTTTGATTTTCCTCTGCCATCTCTTATGCTGTCTTTCAAAATGAAAGCAGATTCTCACTCACATAGCCAGTTGGAAAATGAATAAGAACATTTCATTAAAGAAGGATCTATTTGCACATGTAAGTTTGTTCCTGTTACACCAAAGAATAGACAAATAGTGACTCTGTCTAGTATCATTAGTGCCTGGAAGGAGTGGCTGTTTGTTTTGGTTAAGTCAACGTGTATTTGTCAACTAGGGCTGCCATAATGGGATGCCATGGACTGGGGGGCTTGAACAACAGAAATTCATGTTCTCGTAGTTCTTCGCTGGAAGTGCAAGATCCAGATGTTGATAGGGTTGGGTTCTAGTGGGGCCTCTCTCCTTGGCTTACAGACGGCCATCATCTCACTGTGTCCCCATATGGCCTCTCCTCTGTGCACACACCGGCTCCTGCTGTCTCTTCCTCTTCTTGTAAAGACACCAGCTCTATTGAATTAGGGCTCTACCCTTATGACCTCATTTAACCTTAATTACCTCCTAATGGCCCTATCTCCAAATTGAGTCACATCGAGGGTTAGGGCTTCAGCCTAAGAACTGGGGAGAGAGGAGTGTGCACATTTCAGTCTATAACACAAAGTATAATACTTAGCTCAATGTTTGCTAAGTAAAGATAAAACGCTGTCTTCTAAGCTTTCATAGATAGGGCTAGAGAATAGAATAGTAAACCGTAGCAATATTAAAAAATAAGAGATTTCAACATGTTTCAAAGTCTCAACTTTTAAATTATACAGTATTTTCTATAACCTCTGCAAGTAAATTCTGTAGGTTTCCTAAAAACTTAGTCTGTGTGCATTGTTTAAATTTATGATGCCTGAATTGCCTTAAGGTGAATAAAATTTTTAAATGTATATATAGGAAGAATTATTGATTCTGAAAGAAATTTAATATCCTACGACTGCTACTACGTTTATTTCCCAGCAAACACATTTATACTTAGATTCACTACTGATACATGTAAAAAAGGCCATTTCCAAGGTTCCTTAATTAAAATATTCTATCAACAGTATTTTTTATCATATGAAATTTTCATTTTATTTCAATAAAGTGTATTTTTTATTGGAAAGAAAAACAAGTTCACTTCAAACATTTTACTTAAGCTTAACATATCTATTTTAAAAGAAGTCTATTTATACAGTGGGTCCTGCAATCTCACCACGGAACAGATAGATCTTTCCTGAGACCAAAGGAGGATACATATATCTAAGCACAGAAATGTGGCCTCTTACGTCTACCTTCAGCTGCCGGTGAATTTTTGCAATGACCCTTGCTTCTCCCAGGTGTTCGCACTGTGTATCTGCCTCCTTGCCCTTTGCTCCTTTCATCTTTTCTGCTGTCCGTGGAAAGCTGAATGTACCTTTGGCCTCGTTTTTCATCCACCTTTCCTCCCATGTCATTGTCTTTTTTTCTTTCCTTGTTGTTCTTTGACTCCTCTCTCACAGGCTCTGGTGCTCAGTGCAATATGGCAGGCACCCCGGTTGGTCAGAACAGTCACTTTCCAATAGGCTATACCAATGCATGTCAATGCTGTACATTACCAGAGGGCAGAACTCGCGTCTTTCATGAGTCTCAATTTATGGGTAGCTTCACCAACAAGACCCTTATCTTTACTGGGTCACAAGGATTCCACTTTTGTGTAAACCTTCAGATGAAAATGCTTTTTATCAAT